ACACACTTTCAAACTCTAGTAACATCTCAGTGATCTCTTATACAGCAGCTTAAAAGCTCCAAGACGAGATACAATTTTTACACTTTTCTCTAAGGCTGGAGTGATAGCACAGTGGTAGGGAGTTTGCCTTGCACGCAGCCAGCCTGGCTGAGCCAGGTTCGATTCCTCTGCCCCTCTCGGAGAGCCTGGCAAGCTACCGAGTGTATTCCATATGCCAAAGACAGTAACAAGAAGTCTCACAATGGAGATGTTACTGGGCCCGCTCGAGCAAATCGATGAACAACAGGAGGACAGTTCTCTAAGGAAACCTTTTGGGTCATTTTTAATCAATTATTCTTAACAAGCAATACAGGGCAGGCTTGGGTGATGGTGGAAAGATGTAGTAGTGGTGGAATTGGTATTGAAAATTTGAATGTAATCAATTCTTGTGAACAACTTTATAAAAATAAAGTTTTAAAATTAAAAAAAAAACATGAGATTAAACTGTCAGACACCAACAGTAGTGAAATGTTTTTATTTAATCCAGTAAGGAAGTTTTGTTCAAAAAAAAAAAAAGAATGAGCATTTTCTGGTCAGTTGTCTTGTTAATAGGTTTGGCTGTCAAGCTTTTGATAAAACATATGTTTCTATGTGTATATATATATATATATATATATGTGTGTGTGTGTGATTATGTGTGTTTCTGCCTTAATTATATTCATATATTTATCCAGTAACTATTGAGAACATATATGTATTCCCATTATTATTCTAGTTCCTAGAATTGATAAATCAGGCCAGTGAGTCTTCTGCCCTCATAATCCTGTAATTTGCTATTTAACTGCACTAGTACCCTCCTAATCAGCACAACTTCATAAAACATCAGAATATACAAGAAAGACAAATTTAACCACCTTTCTCTTCTATCTTTCTCTTCTTTCTCTTCTCTTCTCTCACTATTACCATTGCTTTACTTGCTTGCCCTTTCAGTTCTTTCATACAAGTTTTGCATTATCTTTAAAAAAAAATTTAAATGCTGTTGCCTTAATGGGAAATTTTTAATACTTTACAATTATCCTATGAGTTTTTTATATACTTACCATGTATATATGAGAAATATATATTTTATATCCGACATATAATTAACTGCTCATTATTATAGATAACCTAGGCTCTTAAAAATTCCATTTTACATGTAAATTGTACGTATGTATTCATGAAGTAGAAAAATGTAAATAAATATCTCAGGATAGGTTTGAGAAGGTGCTTATGCACCATGGTCTTTCCCCTTCTGATCTTCCTAACCGTCCTTATCTCTTTTAATTCTGTCTACTTGAATAGATTCAAGGACCAAATGGGTCTAATTATCGAAGACAAAGTTATTCTCCCAGAGCACAGCTTCCTAGGAAGATGCCACTTTAGAGAATCTCTTAGTACTAAAGTCAAACTGGATTTTAAATGATTACTACTAGATTGTTACTGTCTGTTAGAGATTTCTGCTTTTCCTGTGCACAGTGATATTGAATAAAGCAATAACACAGGCAGTCCCTAAAGTGTTCTGCCAATGGCTGTCAGTTGATTGTGCCAACTGTTAACTATATAACAACTATAAATCTGTTAATTTATTCAAAATTAAATTTGGGGGGAGGCACATTGGGTGGTGCTTGCAGGCTATTCCCTGTGTTGCTCAGGGGACTGTGTGGTCATGCCAGGGATCAAACCCATTTTCCTGTACAGAATCTCTGCTCCAACCCCTTCCAGCTAGCTCTTCACATCACAGGGATCTGATTTCCAAATGGGAAGACTGATGCCATCCGGTTCTCAGCATATCTACTTTACCACATATACATGAGAAAAAAAATATATATATATTTAATTTTTATTAGTGAAACACCATGAGGTACAGTTGTAGACTTACAAATTTTTGTGCTTGGGTTTCAGTTATATAATGATCGAATACCCATCCATCCACCAGTGCCCATTCTCCACCACCACGGGTCCCAATATTCCTCCCACCCCCCACCCCCCTATCCCGCCCTGCCTCTGTGGCAGGGTATTCCCTTTTGTTCTCTCTCTCCTTTTGGGTGTTGTGGTTTGTAAAAGAGGCATTGTATCTAACATATAATTAACTGCTCATTATTATAGATAACCTAGGCTCTTAAAAATTCTGTTCTACATGTAAATTGTACATACGTATTCATGAAGTCAGAAAATTAGCCAGAAAATTAGCATGTCAATGTATATCTCTTATTTTCATAATCTCTGAAATGTTGTATGAAGATTAGCAAAATTATCTGTGAGATTTTCTTCAGGCAGATTATTTTCCCCCTGTAGATCTGTGTTAATTATGTGAAATTAATTGCTTAGGCAGGAGGATCCAGCCCACTTATCGTCTGTCAGGTCATGATGGCTGTTTGTCCTGATCATTTTACTACCTTTTCCTTTAAGTGATAGTCCATATTATCAGCATTAAAAGAGGACAAAGTGTCGCACTGTCCCACGAGCTCTATTGAGCATAAAGAGACCACCCTCCTACTCCTTTCCCATCATACACCTCTATTCCTTGATAGGAATCACTTATCACTTATCACTTAACTTCCCGTTAGTCGTCGATTTGCTCGAGCGGGCGCCAGTAACGTCTCCATTTGTCCCTGTCTCGTGCTAGTGTAGCCCAATGGCATCTGTTCGTTCCAGGAACATGAAGGGCCTCAAACCGATCGTTCATGATCTTGACGAAGAAGTCTGACCATCTGGTAGGTGGGCGGCCACGCGGTCTCTTGACATCCCGTGGAATCCAATCAGTAACAGCTCTAGTCCAACGGTCGTCTTTAAATCTCATTACGTGACCAGCCCATCTGATTTTCGACACCTTGGCAAATGAGACAGCATCCCTGATCCTTGATCGTCGACGGATGTCAGAACTCCGGATTCGTTCTCTCATTTGAGTGAAACGTGATATTCCAAGCATAGCTCTTTCTATTCTTTGGGAGACCTGAATGGCGTTCTGAGACCTGAATGGTCACCCCAAAAGCCTCTATCCCTCTCGGAAAGACTGGCAAGCTACCGAGAGTATTCCGCCCGCACGGAAGAGCCTGGCAAGCTATCCGCTATGTATTCGATATGCCAAAACCAGTAACTACAACTGGTCTCATTCACCTGACCCTTGATAGGAATAAAAACCCTTTAATCTCATATTACATTGCATATCAGATTTGTCATGTGCCTTCTCTACATATATCATCAAAGTAGAAAAGTTTATTGAAAGCTAATGTTTGTAAGAATCTGGAAAACATTAAAGTACAGTTGCTATAATCCTTAAGATAAATGTTTTAAAATATGTACCTATATATACCATTAAATACTGGTTAAATCATCATTAAGGAGCAGACTGGTACCTCGCACAAGAATCAGTGCTGAGTGACACACAATCTCTGTCCACAGGAAATGCTTTTATGTTTCTGAACTTGATAGTTAGGGAATTTAAACAAGAAGCACTGAGGGAATGCTGACCACCCAGGTTGTTCTGATTGAGCCAGAAAATTAGCCTAAGATGCATGATCAAATTGTATCATTTTGGTCTGGTGGCGGTCTAGTCTCCCCATCTCTGCTGAAAGTCCCCAAAACCTTGGCCATTCTGGAAACCTTTGGCCATCCCCATCACTTCTGTTTTCAAGGGTGTTAGCCTGAGACTCTCAACCTCTTCCTGCTCTTGCGTAGTGATTATACTAAATTTCCCTGTACATTTTTGGGTCAGGAAAGTATATGTCGATGATCTTATAAAGATGACATATACATCTTTTATGCTCTCATATATTTCTGAATGATGAGGAATTAATTTTTCTATTGGTCACTATATTGTCGGAGAGTCATAAATGAATGAGGCACAGGTTGGACTTGACACCTTTAAAGAGACCTTGAAGGGAAAGAGGAACCTTTAAATCTACTGAGAACAGTTGTGAGAGTAATTTAAGAGGCAGGATGGGTGTTTGGTATCCTTGAAAGCTCTTTGAATGGTAACATTATATACTAGATTATACTTAACTTTCCCTTACTCAGCTGTTTGTCGGAGACCCGGAATTGTTTTATTCTTGAATTAAGAAGTTCGCAGTCTTGCTGTGTCTTACATGCCTTTGTCTCTGTGAAGACACTGGGGGACAAGCTGTCATTTCAGAAATATAATTTCTCTGGTCTAAGTTCATGAGAGCCAGTCACGGGCTGTATTGTGCCTTTTGTATTTATAAGTGTGTCTCGGTGTTTTATACTATCCATGGCATCTGCTGTAGATGAGGCCAAACACTTGTAAATTCACTTCATTATGTACAAAAGCTCATCCCAGAGATGTTTTTATGGGCTTTTTCGTGCATAGAGAAGAAAATGGTACTAAGGGATTTTAGAGGGCAGCTAGCTTGATTTTCTGTAAAATGTAGTTTTCTCATGATCTCCATATCAATATTAGTTTTCACATCACTTAGATAAACTTGCATGACCTGCCGAAAGAAATCCAACATCTTTTAGGAGTAGTTTAATTTTCATTTCAGGTCATTTCACAGTGAATGTTTTTTTCAATAAATGAAGATATAATTCTAAGTTAAAAGTTATTTAAACATCTAACAGTTTTTCATTGGCAGTGATTCAACAAGATCTCACTCCACTTAACAATGAACCCCGTTCCCTTGGGAAATTTTTCTAGTACTACATAGGACCGAAGCTTTGCACCAAAGTTCTGATATTATCATAGCCTGGCATTTTCATATATAATTAATGTGGTAGAAACTCGTCTTTAGGAATATAAAATGATTTTCATCATCAGAACATTATTGGAATCTTTGAATACCACGTGTAGGCTGTCGGATAATGTGGAATTAGAAGAGTGATAATGAGACTAGTGCTTTGAGAGTAAAAGCCTGCAAGTTAGGGTCTACCTGTGGTTACCTCATCTTTAGCTTATCTGTTCTACCGCTTGATCTTATTCATCAGACTGTCACTGTTACTTATCTTCTCATCTTTTTCCTTTCACACAGGGATGTGAGCTTATTTCAACCCCTGATCAGGATCACACTGACTTTACCAAATGCCTTCAAGTGCTCCAGAAGAAGATAGAAGAAAAAACCCTCCCGGTGAGCCCTCTCCTCTTTGGTGGCTAAGGGTCTTAACTCCCTTCAGACTACCAAGGGTATAGACGAGAATATGTAGGGGATTCACTCAAAATCAATATTTACTTTCATTTCATTTCATTTCATCATCCTGTTATTCGTCGATTGCCTCGAGCAGGCCCCAGTAATGTCTCTTTCATCCTAGCCCTGAGATTATATTCACGGCTCTTTAGGAGAATGAGACCCATCATTGTTACTGGTATTTGGCATATTTGTTAGGCCACGGGGAGTTTGCCAGACTCTGCCCTGTGGGCAGGCTACATTCGATAGCCTGCAAGTTTGTCCAAAGTAGGAATGAGATAATAAGATGTCGCGCGGCCGCAAATGCGGCCGCGCGGTTCCGGGATCTGAATTTTATAGTCTCTGAGTCTTGGCCACTGATGGGATTACACGGCGCCAGGGGGCCAGGTGGTGGGTGTGACCCCCGCCTACTGGAATTTGGAGGATCTGGGTGGAAGATGCTCGACTCCAATTCGAGTAGGCTTGGAGGTCTCGGCCCCGGAACCCGCGTGGCTTTGTCCCTCTGCCAGTACCTTCATGTGTGCAGAGAGTGGTCTCAGCATGGTGGTGGCTGGTCCTGGAGGTCTTCGGCTGCCGTAGCCCTGGTCGGGGCGGGGAGGAAAGCTCAACCCGCTCCCCTCCAAGGGACTCCGGGAAGGAACACCCAGGCGCGGGGGCAGAGACTGCACTGTTCTCGTCCGGGATCTGGATTTTATAGTCTCTGAGTCTTGGCCGCTGATGGGATTACACGGCGCCAGGGGGCCAGGTGGTGGGTGTGACAGGTGGTGGCAGAGGGACAAAATATTTACTTTGGCACTTATATATCCCTATAAAGCTATTTTTTCCATTGTGTAAAATTAAAATCGGTATGTCGTCACCAGCAAGCTACTGAGAGCATTCCACCCGCACGGCAGAGCCTAGCAAGTTCCCCGTTGAGTATTCAATATGCCAAAAACAGTAACAACATGTCTCACAGTAGAGACGTTACTGGTATCTGCTTGAGCAAATCAATGAACAACAGAAGGGCAGTGCTACAGTGCTACAGTGCTATGTAGTCACCCAAACATTGGCACAAGCACTTAATCGCAAGTCACAGGATAAGATGCCTTGTAGTGGTGAGACTATGGAACGGGTGAGGTGGTCTGGTGCACACCTGCAGTTCTTCTTGCCCTGAAGCAAGTATCACTTTTTCTTTGCAGTTGATTATTGCCATGTGGAACTAAGTACATCCCCCCTCCTGTATTTGTTAAAACTTGGTGTCGGTTGGAGCTTGGCAGATAACTCAGCAGGTGGGGCACTAACCTTGTATGCGGCCAACCTGAGTACGACCCTTGATATCCCATATGGTTCCCTAGCTCCATGGGGAGAAATTTCTGAGCACTGAGCCAGAAGTAACCCCTGAACATCACTGGATGTGGCCTCCCAAAATGAAAAAAAAAGTGAAAAAAAATATTTTGGTGTGGGCAGCAAGCCAAATACCATCTGGATTTCACCCAGGCGCTATCCCTACATCTTTCTTCTATAAGCTGAATGTCGCCAACTGTCACCAGTTCCTGAAGCATCTGCTGACGTGTGTCTGTGGACACTAAGGGGTTCGGCAGTGACTTTCAATCACATCATTTAAGACTAACAACCGAATTTCTTAATTATTATGCTTTATAGTATTTTTCGGTACATGGCAAGATGATACAATTTTTTGTTTGTTTTGTTTTGTTTCTTTTTGGGTCACACCTGGCGATACACAGGGGTTACTTCTGGCTCTGCACTCAAGAATTATCCCTGACGATGTTCAGGGGACCATAAGGGATGCTGGGAATCGAACTTGGGTCGGCCGCATGCAAGGCAAATGTCCTACCCGCTGTGCTATCGCTCCAGCCCCAAGATGATATAATTTTTAAAGTAGGTATTTAGTAAAGACCAGCAAAATTAAACCAGGAGCACTGAGAGACTGCTAGCCATTGTGTTTCCGGTTGAGCCAGTAAATTAGCCTGAGGTACATGATCAGATTGTGTAATTTTATTATTTTGAGCTGAGGTTGGGCCATGCCTAGCTGTGCATAGGGACTATTCCTGGCTCTATGCTCAGGAGTGAACTCTGATACCTGCTTTGGGGACTGTTTGAAGTTCTGAGGATGGGAACAGGCATGTTGCCACACATACTCTTCTTGGTGTTAAGTTGCACAGTGTTTTTTTTTCTTTTTTATGCTTTTTTTCAGCTTTTTATTTTTATTTATTTATTTATATATTTATTTTTATTAGTGAAACACCATGAGGTACAGTTGTAGACTTACAAGTTGCTGTGCTTGGGTTTCAGTTATGCAATGATCGAATACCCATCCCACCACCGGTGCCCATTCTCCACCCCCACCAATCCCTGTATCCCTCCCACCCACCCCCCATCCCCCATCCCACCCTGCCTCTGTGTCAGGGCACTCCCTTTTGTTCTATCTCTCCTTTTGGGTGCTGTGGTCTGCAAAAGAGACATTGGATGGCAGTCATGTTCGGTCCATAGATTACTTTCAGCAGGCATCCTCCATCCTGGGCAGATCTTCCCTGCAGCCTTTATTTGGTGCTCCCTTTTCTATCTGAGCTGACTTTACCCCTAGAGTGTGCGGCTGGCCTCTAAGCCATGGAGTGAACAACCTGGTATTTATCACAGCTGTTCTCGGGTTGTTAGTCTCTTATTTTGTTACTTTATATTACCCACATGAATGCCATCTTTCTGTGTCTGTCCCTCTCTTTCTGATTCTTTTCGCACAGTGTTAAACGAGAGCACTGCTCTTGTGCATTCCTTAAGGTACTTTGTCTCTTTTTTTTGAGGGGGGGAAGTCACACCTGGCGATGCACAGGTGTTACTCCTGGCTCTGTACTCAGGAATTACTCCTGGCTGTGGCTCAGGGAACCGTATGGGATGCTGGGGATCGAACCTGTGCCAGGCAAACACCCTGCCCACTGTGCTATCACTCCAGCCCTTCCTTAAGGTACTTTGTAGTAAATGTAACAGGAAGTGTATTTCGTCCTGGCCAATCCAGTGGGCGATAGAAATGTTCCATCCTAACTCTGTCAGACTCCAGCTCCGGTTCTTTGATGAACTTGGCTCTGTTGCATGGACTTCATATCTGACTTATTTGCAGTGGCCACCTACAACCCCTCCCGAGCTGGGGGATTGAGGGGAAAAATTTCCTGCTGCTGTCACACTGAACCCCTTCCATCTCTCTGTTGAACAACTCTCACTTTCAACAGAGGACATTGAGAATGATCTTTTTTTTTAAAATTGAATCACCTTTAGATACAGTTACAAAGCTTTCATGTTTGAGTTTCAGTCACACAATGCTCGAACGCCCATCCCTCCACCAGTGCACATTCTCCACCACCAATGTCCCCAGTATTACTCCCCACCCTGTTTCCAACCCTCCCCCTGCCTCTGTGGTACTGTAGCACTGTCCTCCTTTTGTTCATCAATTTGCTCAAGTAGGCACCAGTAACGTCTCCATTGTGAGACTTCTTGTTACTGTTTTTGGCGCATTGAATACATCACGGGGAGCTTGCCAGTTTTTGCTGTGTTGGCGGAATACTCTCGATAGCTTGTTGGGCTCTCCGAGAGGGATGCAGGAATCGAACCCAAGTCATCCAAGTGCAAGGTGAACGCCCTACCCACTGTGCTATTGCTTCACCCCCCCCACCCCCCGCAACCGCCTCTATGGCAGACAATTTCCCCTATACTCTCTTTTCTTCGGGGCATTATGGTTTGCAATATAGATACCGAGAAGCTATCACGTTTGGTCCTTTATCTACTTTCAACACCCATCTCCCATCCCGATTGAGCCCTCCAACCATCATTGACTTAGTGATCCCTTCTCTATTCCAGCTGCCTTCTCTCCCAGCTCATAAGACAGGCTTCCAACTATGGAGCAATAGACTTTGTGTCTACTGTCCTTGAGTGTCAGCCTCTTATTAGGTTACTTTATATTCCACAAATGAGTGCAGTCAACAGACGACTGGTTAAAGAAACTTTGGTGCATCTACACAGTGGAATATTACGCAGCTGTAAGGAAAGATGAAGTTATGAAATTTGCTTATAAGTGGATGTTCATGGAGAGTATCATGCCAAGTGAAATGAGTCAGAAAGAGAGGAACAGACATAGATTGACTGCACTCATTGAGAATAATCTTAATGCATTGGCCTTGAGCAAGGAATGAGTTTGCTCTGTGTGACATGTGTCATCAAACTATATATGGCTAGTACACATGTGTAAGCAGGGCTGGGTATAGAAGAGGTAATTTTTTTTTATTAGTGAGACATCATGAGGTACAGTTGAAGACTTAGAAATTTTTGTGCTTGGGTTTTAATTATACAATGATCAAATACCCATCCCTCCATCAGTGCCCATTTCCCACCACCATGGATCCCATTATCCCTCCCAACCCCCATCCCCCCATCCCACCCTTCCTCTGTGGCAGGGCATTTCCTTTTGTTCTCTCTCTCTTATTGGGTGTTGTGGTTTGCAAAAGAGGCAATGGGTGATAGTCATGTTTGGTCTATAGTCTACTTTCAGCATGCTTCTCCCGTCCTGGGAGGATCCTCCCAATACCCTTTATTTGGTGCTCCCTTCTCTATCTGAGCTGCCTTTTCCCCTAGCATGTGTGGTTGGCCTCCAAGCCATGGAGTAAAATTCCTGGTACTAATCTCGGCCATTCTTGGGTGTTAGTCTCCTCTTTTGTTACTAGAAGAGGTAATCTTTGAAGAGATTTGTTTTGTTTTTTCCCTAATACAAATATACAGCTCCCTAGCAGAACTTTATCAAGGTTTGTATCTAGGATGTTCTCCTAAGTTAAAGAAGTAGGAAAGCCTTGTTAAGGGTCCTAATTGGCAAGTAGTTCATTGTGCAAACTCAAGAGAAGTAATAAAGCGAGTGTTTCTCATCTCTGTTAGCTTGAGCTGTCCCATAAGTGTGGTGCTATTTC